CTTCCTTCCTTCCTTCCTTCCTTCCTTCCTTCCTTCCTTCCTTCCTTCCCTCCTTCCTTCTTTCTTTCTTTCTTTTAAACACCAGTGACTCCATTTTTATTCCAAAAGTTTGTAGAACTAAAATGACAGATAATGTTATAATCCACTGTCAATAAATAGTAGTGATTTGGGCAATATTTCTACATTCTTTTTAAATATTTTTGATTGTTCTAATTAGTTATACATAGCAGTAGAACGCATTTTGACACATCACACATAAATGGAGTATGACCTCTCATTCTTCTGGTTGTATATGCACAAAGGGTCRTAATGTCCTATTCATTCTACTATCATTTCTACCCTCATATTCCCTCTCCTCCTTCACTTTTCTCTATCTAATCCAAGTCTACATTCTTTATCACTATCTAATCTCTTSTGTTACTAATTGTCTCATTCATTTCCATCATATGGTGAACTTTTGGCAAACTTTACATAATGGATAAATTTAAAGYCACAATTCAAATTTAAAATAATTAAGGTAATTGAGTTGCCTTAGGTAAAACTCCCCTAAACCACTTGGAGCTCATTTTTGGGGCAAAGATTTGCTACAGTGAAGAACAATTTTTTACCTCCTTCTACAGTRCTTCTAAAATTATTGATTTTGTCTAAGTTATGACTATTTATTCCAAAGAGGAAAACTATATATGGAAGTGTTTTTATTCTGTTTTCTTCTGAACTTATGTTACCTTTGTTTCCATTATTATTTTTCACATCTATGAAGAAAAGAAGGCATTGGAGACCTTAAATGTAATATAATTGTTTTTMATTTAGTCCCCACAATAAAAAGGCACATTGGAGATTAATCCCTTTGGAGAGATTTCTTAACACATTTGATTAAAAAAAAATTTTTGTTAACCAAGAAGTATAAATAGAAAAGGAAATATATTTTGAAATTAATGAAAAAATAACTAAGATAAAGTAATGGAATAAACCAGATAAGCCAAAGTCTCAAAATCTGAAACTTTTCATCTCAGAAAAGGCATATGAAATGCATGAAATATCAGCCACTAGGATTAGGAAATTTTAGGTTAATTTAGGCTAGAATTATTCCTTCTGTTTTGGGGAAATAGTTTTTGCAAATATGCTAAGCCTAAGAAAATTGATGGCTGTTTTTCATCCTGAAAACATTTATGTCTATAACTATCTTATATTTCTCTCCATATGGCTTATTTTGTCATATATACCTGATAATTTTAGATGTGGAACTGATCTAGAATAGGAGACCAGCTCAACAACAATATTTCCCATTTGCTACGGAAAAGTGGATTAAACCATTCTGAGCCTCAGTTCCTCAATGAAAAAAAAAAAAAGTCTATATCAGAGCATCAGAAATCCAAGGGAGAAAAACTGAATGAGAAATCCATTATAAGTCATAAATAGCTACAATAAATCAAGCAATGATTGTGCTCCTGAAAAACTACATGCAATTCAGTTGTTTGGAAACATGCCATATTTGAGATGAGCTAGAAGACCACAGAAGTCTGGTGCTTTTGTACATAGGAGATGCAGCTCTTAGTGTTCCTATTTAAAAAATCTGAGGATTTAAAATCTAAATTTATTTGTAATCAGGGTTAAGCTAATTGTCATCCCTAAGACCTAATAAGAAGCTATAATCAGTGGATTCTACCAACTACTGGTAGAAAATTGCATAAAAAATGAACATGTACATACATTTCCCTTGTCATTATTCCCTGAACAACTATTTGCAATGGGAGTACAAGTTCCATAGCAAACTATGAACCTATTCAAGGAGGTAAAGGCAGTGTACTAACTATTTACATAGCATGTACAATGTATAAGGTATTATAAGAAATCAAATAATTATTCAAGTAGACAGGAGAATCTGCTAAGTTATATGCTATCAAAATATCATTTTAGTTTTTGGCGAACACAACATCTTTGTTTGTATGTGGTGCTGAGGATCGATCGAACCTGGGCCGCACGCATGCCAGGCGAGCTCGCTACCACTTGAGCCACATCCCCAGCCCACAATCAATATATCATTTTATATGAGAGATTTGAGCATCTGCAAATTTTGGTATCTTTGGGGGTCTTGGGATCCACTCCCTGTGGATATGGGGAATCCACTCCCCATTGTACTTTTGTTCTTCAGATGACCCTTCTGTCTATTCTTCTTACCTAGGTTCATTGTAGTCTGTGGAAACATCACTGTAGACAGTGTGACCGCTTTCCTGAGGAATTTTCTACGTCACAGGTCAGGGGAAATCAACACTGAGATTGTTTWTCTGGGAGAGTAAGTATATCTGTAAGGTTCATGGGTTCTAAATTAATGCTMGAAATATTTACACATACTTTAATGGGAGAAAGTTACCTTTATAATATTCATATAAATTTTAGGAAATAATGATAAATAAGAAAGAAAAAGAAGAGCAATATCATGTCCAGAGTTAACCTCTGCAAATATTTTGGGATATATCTTACCAGATGCTTTCCTAAATGTATTTTAATATTACTTAAGTGGCTCTATTMGCTGGCATTTAGTTATTCTACACGTGCTATTATCATATTTGACCATAATTTTGTGCACAAATCTTATGTCATACTTTCTTATTACTAATTGAACTGTTAATTCTCAGAATGGGAAGTGGGAAGTTCAAATGGAAGCAGAAAGGATTGGCCTTCATGGTGTTTTTGTTCTATCCAGTACACCTATCCACCAGCAGAGTTCAAATCAAAGAGTTTGTCAAACACCAGGGAATACATATTTAATACAGAGAGATTTTTAAAGCATAGTTGAAGTGTGTGAAATGAATTCTTATTGTTTCATTTTACAATATTCAATTTTAGTTCCCAGTAAAATTGAACAATTGTGTGTGTTTTAACTGTTCTCATTTCTTTTTGAAATTCCTATTTCTTTTATGGTCTTCTATCAGGGGAGTCATCTGTTGGCTTATTGACTTTCAAACACTCAATATATTTTGATATTCGCTCTTTTGTGTCTTTTGTTGTGTATACATGTTCCACTGTCTTCTGCCTTTTAATTGTGTTTGTGTTTTTAATATGGAAGCACTTAGTTCTCATGTGTTCTAATCCAATAACTCATTATTTCAGCTCTTTGTTTTTCTGACCTTCATAGGCCTCTCTGTTACAGAATTAAGTGAATATTTTTGTAGTGTTATTATATTTTCATATAATGATTTTTAATATTCAAGCTCTCTGGGATTGATTGTGTGTGATAATAACAACATTATTTTACTCCAGTGATTAATCAATTGTTCAAACATCATTCACTGAGTAAGTTAGGCAGATTTGAAATAGCATTTTGATCTTACACAGGATTGTATGTGGGATTGCCTTGACCTTCATGCATTTTATAGTTGAACACTCTGCACAATCCACCATGATTTTGAATCATCACATATGTGATCTACAATAACATTTATTACTTTATGCCACTATTGATGGACAGTAGTTTTGTTTCCACATCATTGCAGAAATGGATAACTAATACAAAAGAAATGATACTAGAAGTGGAGTACTGTCTTTCCAGGAGCCAAAATACCCTTTCCAAGGTAGGCAGAGACTGGAAGGTTTTCATGGATATTGTTGGCAGGGCTGGAAAGACCATGACGAAATTGCTACCAGGTGCTATAGGAAGCACAACCAATGTTATCATTATAGAATTTTTGTAATAATTTCTCTGGCAATATCATGGATGATAGAAAATGTACCTCATGAAATTATGAAGTTGGCTAAGAAGATTTCCCCTAAAGAATACTGAGTCTCACTTATTTTAGTTTAATCATAAGGATATTATAAGGAATTTGTTTTAAATGAGAAATTCTTTAGTTTTCAAGCAGAACAAAGAGTAAGTATAAAAGTCCCAGAACAGTCTCTCCAAGTAGCTAAAAATATATCACAGAGAAAATGACCTCAGAGGAAAAAAAATTCAAGTCCAATGTGCACCCTTATAATGTCTGCTCTCAGGGTCAGTCTCCAATCAAGAATGTGACTATCAGGTTCTTTAGACTTCAGAAAGATGTAGAGCAATGATCTATAGATGCTCTCAGTCAGGCCAAAGGTCTTCAAGAAGCTGAGACATTCTTCTAGGAAGCTTTACATTCTTTAAGAGAAACTGTCTCCACGAATATGAATATGAATATGATCATGACATAAATCTGAATAAGATTTTTAGAAAATATTCAAGTCTTAAATTTTACTAGTAATAGTCCTGACAGTTTAGAGTAAAAGGGATAGAGAGAATGCATAAGAAAAAGCATGCCTCTAAGCTCCTAATCTAGTGCAAGCAGAAATCAGGTAGTATCAGGTACTTAAGTACAAACGGAGGCCATCTTACTAGGGAAATGAAAGATGGGGATTCAGAGACAAGTATCAAAGAAAAATGAATTAGTTCATGAGGACAGACCTGAGCAACTGGACCATAATAAAAAAAATATTCTCTGCTCAGGAAGTAAGTGATCCCAATAATATATGCTCAGATGGAGTTCAGAATTTCAGAGAGATAGACTTCAGATTTCTATGTGCTCTCCATTACCACCCACTCCCTTATTAACTGGGAATATCYAGTACAATTTTTTTCTCTCTCTACCTCATAATGGTATGTCAGTTGATGATGTGAGAAGCTATTCAGTTCACAGTTCACTGGTCTTGGTATTAGGTGGAGCTATGTGTCAGGAGACACATGCAGATCTGAATCAGATTTMGGTGAGAAGATCCAGGAGTTTGAGGTGATGCCATAAAGATATAGGACTTTGGGGGAAAAGTGAGAATGTTTCGYGCAAGATAAGGATATGAATTCTTCTGGCTGGACAGAGGGAAGACTATGGTAGATTATWTTTAAAGAAGGTTATTCTTTCCAAATACTTATACATAATCCATTCTTCCAATCAAAAGTGGAGTCCCGTACTCCCCTTTATTAAATCCAGGGTGGTCTTTTAACTTAAATCTGCTCTTGCTTTTGATTCCTTTATCTAATAAAATGTGTACAAGTGGCAGTGTGTCCATTATGGCCAGCCATCTTTGAAGAGTTCTGACAGCTTCTGCTTTCAGTCTACCATCGTCCATTCAGATGGAGAAAGAAGCCCATCCAGCTTCCAGCCATTTCAGATAGCACCATTGAGTCAACAGACATGTAAATGATGTCATCTCAGACACTGTAGCCCACTAAAGCTCTCAAGACACATGCAATCATAGAAGTCACTCCAACAAAAACACATGAAGCAGCACTATCACCCAACTGAGCCCCATTGAACCAACGAATGGAAGCAAGTCATATTGACAATTCCTTGAAGATAGATTTATCTTCACTYCTTTGAAGCCCCTTGGCTTGAGTAAGAGAATCTTCAGGTCGCCTTCCAACATCTTTCTGAGCTCTGAAAAAAACTGTTGTATCCTTGATTGGAGCCTGACCCTAAGATCAAATGCTATAGGTGTGCACACTGGACTTGATTTTTTCTCCTGAGGTCATTTTCCCTTTGACACCACTTCTTGCTATTTTAAGTCACAAAGGTCCTGCAAGAATTTATACAAAAATGAATAACTGATGCAGAAATGAACTCATTTATTTCTTTGGTGATAAAGCTACAAAAAAATCTAAGGTATGTTTTGAAATTTCACAATTTCAAACAATTACTAACTCACATTTATAGAATTCAAAATACTGGTTACATGGAACAAAAACTATGGCTACATTAAGCAAAATACATAAATTAAAATCATCAGCTTTCCTCTGAAGCAGCCAGATAACTAGACTTAGAGATGACACRATAAGGAATGAAGGTGATACAATGCTTCTTTTCTTGAGTAATTTTGATTATTATCATGCATGAGGGGGTACATGGCTGTAGACTTTATCATCTTTTCTTKTTTTCAATGAATATATATTATATACTTTTATATGTGCTATTTTTCATGATACAAGTTGAAAGATGAGAACTTTCTGTGGTTTACAAAAGATGTCATTTCTCAGACTGAAAAAATTTAATAATGCTGATAAAGATAAATGAAAATCATGTACACATAAACTTACTTAAGATGCGGAAATCAAAACAGGGCAAAGAGAGGCAAGCATGTTGTTGCTGTTGTAACATAGAAGGGACACCTAATTCAACACTGTTACACATGGGATATATTGGGGTGGTCATCCAGGAGAACGTTACCACTCGAGAGAATAGTGCATGTTTATAGTTTACACATCAAAGAGCAAAATATTCATCATGAACTCTCACCCTTTCCACTTTCCCCAGTCCTACTACTCAGAGATAACCACCCGAACTTTATGTTATTATATTTCTTCCAACTTTATAATTATGTTTGACTATTATTTTGACTTCTCAGTTGTAGGCAGGATGAACCACCACAGGTTGCAGATGAGCATTGCCCAGCTCCCCACGACTACCTCCTTTCATCATTACAAAATAGTTATCTTAGAACTTGCAGTTATAGGAGAGTGTTTCTATCATGACAGGAATAGTGTTTATATCATTATGACTAATAAAAATTGTTTCTTGCAGATTCAAGTAGCATGTTATGATATACTGTACTGTATGTCTCCTCAAAATTAATTTTCAATACTTACAAGATTGTCTCTCTTTGTTATATGTCTATCATATACACTACATCACAGAGGATATATCCAGATGATATATCACAGGTATACCCTGACATTTTTTTTAAACTACTCCAACATTAAGCAATACAATAGGAACAAAAGTTAAGTGAAAAAAAAAACATTTAAAAATATTTTTTTAGTTGTCAATGGACCTTTATTTTACTTATTTATATGTTATGCTGAGAATCAAATCCAGTGCCTCACACATGTTAAACAAGTATTCTACCGCTGAGCTACAACCCCAGYCCTAGGTGAAAATTTTCTAAGAGTTGCACATGGGCTATTGAAGTATTTAAAAAAATAWGCTAAGACTTCTATTTACTTTTAACTATCAAGGAAATAATTAAGAATCATGCTTAAAACTTTTWAAATCTTTTTAAAAATCTTATTTTATTGGTTCTTTTTATTTATATGTGCTGAATCCATTTTGGTAGAATTATAAAAGCATGGTACATATTTTATTCTAATTAGGACCCTAGTGCCTCTCCTTCCCTTTCCTTATCCCCTGCTCTCGTCCCTCTATTGATTTTCTGCTGTTTACCCAGTTATTTTTAGGTAATTTTTTATTTGTTCTATTTGTTATACATGACAATGGAATGCATTTTGACACATCAGACATCAATGGAGTATAACTTCTCACTCTTCTGGTTGTACATGATGTG